AAAATACAGATGGAGGATCACATCTCCTCTGGAGATTAGAGCGACCTGGTTGCCCCTCCCTCCCATAAATGCCCATGAAATGTCTTTCAGGGCTAGGGCAAGGGATCTCAGGACACATCTGCCTCCTCCCTTAGCCCCGTTTCAATACAGGCCCTGCGCAAGTACAATTCTCAGATTACTGATTCACAATTACACAGAAACAGAAACACAATACACAAACAGACAGACATAAAAATGAGCTCGTTTCTTTATACCTCCAACTGGGTCTAGAGTGTGTCTGGGAGCTACTCGATTCCTGGTCAGGGAACCAAATGTTGGACTCTAGCGTCCAAACACCAAGGAGGAGTCACCCCCAGAGACCATCTCACACACCACAGCCGATGCAAAAACATGAGAATTTTATTAATTCTGTCATGACAGGGTACCTCAGCATTCGGGAAGCCGAGAGACCTGGAATAGCTGGTACAGTCTACTTTTGAAGGGGCCACAGAAGCAAGGGGGGTTGTTCTTAGACTATTCTGATTGACTTATTCGAAAGGGCTATTACCAATAATTGACTGGAGAGCTGTTGCCAGATCAGATCAGGTAGGAGGTCATTTTGACCCCGTTTCCCAGGGGACCGAACCAAAGCATACGTATATGGGTAATTGTTCAGGAACTGAGTACATGCTAGTGTAGCTGTTAGGTCCTTGGTTCCCAGGGGAGGAGGGGAAGCACTATGGCTCAGAGGCTGAGAGGATTCAGAATTGTCAAAATGGCTTCAGGATTGTCTTAAAGTTATACACAACAACAACAACAACAAAACAGGACCAACTGTGTAACAGAGGAAATCTTTTTTAGCCTCTGTCTTTAATCTTTCTAAACTTACCTTGTGAAAATTGCTTAAAGTCTCCTTGGTTAGTGTTGGACAGAAGGGAAAATCCTCGCTGTCCAGGCTTCAAGACTTGGCAGTGACTACCCCTGCCCTGCCCAGAAGCAGTTTTTCTGAGTTTTCCAGATACTGGTGGGTTTTACAGACCAAGGTTTTGAAAGAAGACATTAAAGCAAAAGATAAATGAGTGGAATTTTCTCTTATCTTTAGGCTCAGCCCTGGGGGAACTCTTCCCCTCTCCAGGGCTCCTCAGAACAGGCAGAACAGAGGGAATGATCTCCTGGGTGTACTATTTCTCCATCCCTACCCTCATTCCACCTAGATGGCTGGGGGCCCTGGATGAGAGGCCAGTCCTCCACACAGGTCCAAACCAATGACTGTGATCCTAAGTCAAGCAACAAAATAAGCAAGTGCTGGAGTGGGACAGGTCGAGTTTATACTGGTATCTCTGTTTGACCTGGCAAAGCCAAAAGTATTTAGGCCCCCAACAGGAGAGGACACAGGTCTTAATCTGCGGGAGTCGGGGGTGGTGGTGGTAGGGTGGGGGAGGTCTCACACTAGAAAAACACACTGGTCAATTACATGGAAACAAAACTAACAGAGACACATAGAAAGACACATAGAGACACTTGAACAGACAGGGAATCAAGTGACATCTCACATAGATCAGCATTTGTGCCTCCTATGTGTCCAAACAGCATGCCCATAACCAGACATAATTCCAGAGTTGACAGACCAGGTGACTTTCTCATTCATTTCCTTTTGGGGAAACCCCTCTGCAGTGTTAGGCAGAGATTGATCAAAGACCTAGAACATCTGAAATTGTGCTGATCACCCCCCAACACACACACACACACACACACACACACACACACACACACACACACACACGTCTCAAGGTCTGGTCTCTGGGATCTTGGTGGGACTTCTAGAAGTATGCACCAGAGAAGACTGCTAGGACATGAATTCAAGCCAATTAAAAGTCCCTATTAGCCAGCTGGTGACTACACTTTTGTTAAGGATTCTATTGTAGCCCCAAGCCTTTCTTAGGATGAGCTTTTAAACACAAACCCCATGCCATGTCCTGGATTGACATACTTCAGTAAACCAGAACAGTTAGCCAGAAGCACAACTATACAAGTCAAAAAGCAGGGTTAGTACATTTAGAGACTTTTCTAGAACTATGGATTTGCCTAGAACTATGGATTTTGATGCATTAGGCCTTTGGTTTAGCTTTGGCAGTTGCTGTTGTCTGTGTGCTGAGTTTTATAGCCTGAATGGCACTTCCATCATGAAGTCAGTTATGCTAAGATTTCTGGGCCTACTAAGATCTGAGGCCCTGTTCTAGCTTCACTCTTTATAATACTCAGAGTGGCACCTATACTTCGACATATATTATTCATTCTCATTGGGGAGTGATATTTTAAGCATGGATATATTTCATATTGTTTATTGATAGCTGAGTAAGCTACACAAGATTGTTTCATGATTTCATTATTAAGAATAAACCTCATATTTGTAACACTCAAGTTTTTTTTTTTTTCGCAAACAAGTTTGTGTTTCTCTAGAATAAATGACCATGAATATAACTTGTGGATGGCTAGGTCATTATGTGATTAGCTTAACAAACATTTTCAAAACTGTTTTCCAGAATGGTTGCCAAATTACAAATTGTCACTATATATGAGCAAAATCTGGTGATTCAAGACTAATAAACCATACTGTTTGGGAGACAGAGGCATGAGGATCACACATTCAAGGCCTGCTTGAGCTACAATGTGAATTTAAGGCCAAACTGGAATAATCAGTGAGAAACTATCTCAATATTTTACTGAGACAGTATGTCAGTAAAATAGGACTGGGTTATAACTCAGTGGTAGGTCATGCGTCACGCAAGAGGACCTACTTTCAAACACCAGCACTGTAGACAAGGAAGCAATGAAACATGGTCTTGTTGCTTTATAGCCTCATCAGAATCTGATGTTTTCTTTTTTTTTTTTTTTTTCATTTGAACAGGCAACAGTCAGGTGTTTTCTCACCAGTAAGCTCATCATCAAATACACATACCCATTTTCCCACCGAACTAAGTAGTTATGCTACGCTTTTACTTGGATCAACTTTCTGTTTTTATGTGATATTTACTCAGTAAATGATATTCACTGACAAAAGAAATGAGAGAATATTGCTATTTTTCTGAACAACTTACCATTTTCGAAGTAATTAAGAATTTCATTTGTTTCTATATGCTTAAAACTAATTTATTTTAATGTCTTCTCTTCTTATTCCAAGAGACCCCAATTGTCTAAATTTGTCAAAATTATTTCTCAGCACAAATTCACAAAGCATTCTATCAACTCAATCTCCCTGGGGTCATGTATATGTCGGCATGTGTAACACAGGCCTTACAGGTATCTGCACAAAGCAAACAGAGGACTAGATCTCCCTGGTGTTCCATCTTATTGCAGACATTTCTGAGTTAAAGCCCTCCTTAATTGAAAACAAAGCCAAAAGAGTTGTTAGACAGTTCAGATTTCGGCCAGTCTAATTTTGACACTCCTTTGTTGTTTCCAACTGTTTTCTAGTTTGTTTAGGGGTTTGTACCAGAACCGTGGAGAACCGTGATTTGCATTCACTCAAACTCTAAATCTTTCAGGGGTACAGAACAAACTTGGCTTTGCCACAGGGAGCTAGGCCTGCTTTGTACTGTGTTAAAAAAAAAACAAAAAAACAAAAACAAAAACAAAAACAAAAACTAAAAGGTGATTCAAATATCCAACTGGTAAAGAAGACAAGAAATTCCAGAAGATATTTTATCCTTTCCTAGAGATTTGCACATTATAATCAACCCTTTTCCAATCTTGTTTCAACTGTCAACAACAATTCTAATAAATTCATAAGTTGACCATGGGATAAAACCGGACTCTCTGAATATGGCGGACAATGAGGGCTGCTGAGAAGCCAAGGACAATGCCACTGGGTTTTGATCCTACTTCATGTTCTGGCTTTGTGGGAGCCTAGCCAGTTTGGATGTCCACCTTCCTAGACCAAGATGGAGCGGGGAGGACTTTGGACTTTCCACAGGGCAGGGAACCCTGACTGCCCCTCAGACTGGAGAGGGAGGGGGAGAGGAGTGGGGGGGAGGGGGAGAGGAGAGGGAGGAGGGGGGAAAAGGGAGACGGGGAGGGAAATGGGAGGCGGGGAGGAGGCGGAAATCTTTTTTTTCAATAAAAAATTATATTTTAAAAAAAATTCATAAGTTGACTTTAAATCTAGGACTACTTAATTATTGCTCCATCATTTTTGAAAAAAACTATTTATGATCTTGGTATTGGAAGAGTCATGCTGAACTAAAATCGGTATTAAAAAATAAACCACTGGATTGCATTTGTTTTTTTGAGTCTGTATTTAATTTCTTTTAAATTAAATGATATAGGGGCTGAGGATATAGTTCAGTAATAGAATGCTTGAATGCTCAAGATACTGGATCCTTGCACTGGGGAAAAATAGAAAAAAAATGTATTTTTTTAGATTATTTAGTCATCTCTATTGATACATTTTCATATTTTATAATAATTTAATAGTTTGGTATTATAGAAAACACAAAAATGCTGGCCTAAAGGTCACTGACATTTTTCTCCTTATTAAAGTCCTTCATTTCAGTCAAATTTAGCTGCCTTAATAGACCCTGCAGACTATCATTTTCACTAAGCTTGTTCTAAAGGAGGATCCAGGAAAATGGCCAATAAACCAAATGCCACTTTGAAACCCTGGCTGTGTCAACATCAGCTGCTTTTGGATTTGAGGCTGACAAAGTAAAGTATTTTCCAATTATTTTGCTGATACTTGTCAACCAATTCTTGGATTCCACAGAAACCTGCTGTTCGAGTTTCCCAACCCAAGGCCCTGGGACCTTTCATTAAGTACAGGTCTGCTGCGCAGGCACAAGCCTGAGGGCAGGGGCTGGAGGAGGGGACTTTAGGGCCAGGGGTGAGGGTAGCACGCAGCTCTTACGTCAGAGAAGCATGGCCAGGGCGGGGCAAGTTCCGGAGACTGCCTCCGAAGGAATGCTGGGACGAGGCGTGGGTCAGTGCTCACGTGGAGTCCGGATAATGGTTTCCTAGTGCTTGTCTCCTAGCTACATCTGTTTACTCTAGCCAGTCAGGAGTTGGTCAAGTCCGCTTCTGGTTGCTGGCTATCTAGAGGTCCGCGATGGACACAGAGCGAGGCTCCTTAGGCACTCGGGATGTGGAGAGCACCAAGAAGGAAGTTCAACTGAGGGTAATCCCTTCGGAGCTGAAGTTCCTGGATGCAGTGTCTGGGAAAGTGTACCGGCTCCCTCTCGTTGTGCACAATTTGGGCCGCTGGAACCAGAAGATGAGGTTTCAAGAGCCTGGGAAGCCACAGGTGATAAATTAAGGGTACTGAAAGCTCCTGGGTAGCCTCCGCACTTGAGCAACCCTTTGGCTCAAAAACCAAAATCTACATTTCTAAGGAATTCGGGAAGGATTTTATTTGCTGAGGTGTAGTCACAGGGAAGGAGAAGATAACAAAAGAGAGGGAGAAGGAGGAGGGGGAGGGAGGAAGGGATAACTGCTAAGGTGTAAATGGGAGGAAGAGAAGGGAGTGAAAGGCAGGAAGGGGGAGGGAGAATGATAGAGACATAGGGAGAGGGAGGAAGAGAGGGATAGAAGGAGAGGGAAGAAAGAGGAAGGAAGGAAGAGCAAGGAAGTGATGAAGGGAGAGAGGGAGGGAGGAGAAGGGAGAAAGAATGGAAGAGAAAGGGATGGAAAGAGGGAGAGAGGAAGGGGATAGGAAAAGTGAGAAGGGGAGGCAAAATAATGATGGGAGGAGGGAGAGGGAAAGAGTGGAGAAAGAATCTTTTACTTCAAGTAAGGGGGTATGAGGAAAAGACTAGATGGGGCGAAGCTGAGAGAGAATATGCTTCTTCATAATTGTGTTTGGAAAAAGAAAAGTCCTCACTCCTGTTTTCATTTTTAGTTAACAGAAAATTACAGATTCGTGAAGCTTTATAAATACAATGATGGTTACATCTACTAAGAATTCCAATTTTATGCACTATGTCTTCATAATTCTGAAGTGAATCATGAAGTAATTCATGAGGTGAATTAACAACACCTCAAAAAAAATCCTAGGAGATCGATTTTTTTTGAGGTGTTGTTAATTGCCCTCTGACACTTAAAGTTCCTGATTCCTTCAGGAATTACTAAGAGGCATAAGTGCGGTTTTGTGTCATACTTTATTGAAAATTTACTGAGAAACAGATATATCTCTACTCTCTAAGGATAGGAACTAAAAGGGCATTTTTGTACAGGCCTAATCATCACACCCTGTAAATATATACATTTAATGTATATCAGCGTAAAGTTTTTTTTTTTTAAATTCTTGTTAGGTGGGAATAAGACTTATGCTTGGTAATAATACACACTCCCTAAATATTAGTTTCTCATAATCTTTATAAGGAACTAATAGTGCTGATTTTATCTTTTTCCACTTAAGTTCAAACTGTTGTTGTCGAGTCTGGATAGGGAACTAGCTTCTGGCCTTCAGATGTCAGCAATGGTGGAATATCGTCCTGATAAAAATGAAGACGTGTTTGATCACATCCTTATCTATGCAGGAAATAAAGTTCTAGAGGTTCCTCTGATTGGGTATGTAATCTTCACATCTGCCTTGTAACAATTTTGTTATTATTAAACTGTACTAATGCATTTAAGGACATTCTGTGATGTAGAGCTTGCAATCTAAATATAAAATAGGTATGTCGTGAGATTCCTTCATATGAGACAATAAATTTTTGAAAGCTGTCTGAAAATGCCTACTACATACATGCTGCATTGAACACATTAAATTAAAGACACATGTAGCAGATCACATTTCTTCATTGTACAGAGATTGTGTTTTATACCTTGTTCTTGTTAGCTTTGGACATTTTGATACAAGCTAGAGTCCCATGGGAAGAGAGAATTTATTTATTATCCTGCAGTCAAGTCTATGGGGGCATTTTCTTGTTTAATGGTTGGTGTGGGAGGGCCTAGTCCACTGTGGGCAGTGCCTTACTGGCCAGATGGTCTTGGGAAATATAAAACAGCAAGCTGAGCAAGCCATAGAGAGCAAGTCAGTAAGTAATGCCTCTGTGCTTCCTGTCTCTATTGCTCTTGCTCCTGGCTGCCCTCAATGATTAACCATGATCTGGATACTTAAGCCAAATAAACACTTGCCTGCCTAAGCTGGTTTTGGTCAGTGTTTTAGCATAGCAACAGAAAGTATCTATTATATTCCCCAAATACAGTATCATTGCTTTTTTCATTTATCATATTTTATGTTTTTCAAAGTATTAAAGTCACTTTCCCCTTTTTAATAAGTTTCAAAACATTAAATGGACTTATGTGGAAATTCTCAAAAGGAATTTCACGTATGATAGAGTAACACTAAATTGAAATAAATGAATAGTCTGTCAAATCATGCTTATATGATAAAGTCTGACTTCCTTGTTAAGAAAAGGTTGCATTATAGTTTGCATATGTTATTTCATTACTCCTTTTATTGACAGCAGTGTTATCAATAGACCTGTAAATAAACTGAAATATCTTTTAAAGAGTTAAATGTCTGTAAAGTATCCGTGTGTGTGCTTCCATGAGCTTAACTATGAAGGTGTTCTTATTGTTACACATAATTGTTTGCTTCTGTTCTTCTCTCTTAGGCTGATTCCAACCTGTCACCTGGAAATTGTGCCAGTAGTTGATTTTGGCATATTAGTTGCCAATAGTAAAGTGCATTGTAAAGAGATTAGTATTATTAATCGTGGCAAAGCTCCAGGTACGTGTTCTGTGTCATATAAGCTTACAAATTTAGAAGAGTTGCTATTATTTTAAATTGCATCTAGTATAATAGATTTTCCCAGTCATCAAGAAACAATGACTATCATTTGAAATATTTGAGAACCAAAGGCCCTTAAGTGGTGTGACTACAAAGGATAGCTATGTAATCATTTAAGAAAAATGAACCTGCCTCTTATAATCCATTTTAACACAGCCTGCTGGTTATGTGACTGGTGCTCTTTCTGCAGATGAGAGGCAGGTTGGTGTTATAGAAGTGACATAGGCTAGTCCAGAGACTGAACTGGACCTCAGTGCCTTACTTACTAGCTATATCATATTGGACAATTATCTTTAATGAAATTGAACTTTAGATGGTTAATTAGGTATTTACCCAAAATTTTGGTATGAAACCTGTTTCATTGTGGACTTGAAATATTTTTTCTATTTGTCATAGTGAACTTGGCATTCAGATCATGGTCTGGAAAAGGCTTATAATAATTTATCATTGGAAGGACACTTTTTTCCAAACTTGATTATTTTTAGAAATTGTTATTGTGGCCAGGTGTTTTCATAAAAGTTTTTTTTTTTTTTATTTTGGTTTTTCGAGACAGGGTTTCTCTGTGGCTTTGGAGCCTGTCCTGGAACTAGCTCTGTAGACCAGGCTGGTCTCGAACTCACAGAGATTCACCTGCCTCTGCCTCCTGAGTGCTGGGATTAAAGGCGTGCGCCACCACCGCCCGGCAAAGTATATGTTGTTATGCATACTTTTTTCAAATATCATTTTTATTGTTTTTATTGAACAATATGTTTTTCTCCACTCCCCTCCTTTCCTTTCCCCTCCCCTTCTACCCTGTCCCATGGTCCCCATGCTCCCAAATTTACTTAGGAGATTTTGTCTTTTTCTACTTCCCATGTACATTAGATCCATGTATGTCTCTCTTTGGGCTCTCATTGTTGTCTAGGTTCTCTGGGATTGTGAATTGTAGGCTTTTTGTTTGTTTGTTTGTTTTTTTGTTTTATTTCTAAAAGCCACTTATGAGTAAGTACATATGATATTTGTCTTTCTGGGTCTGGGTTACCTCACTCAATATTATGTTTTCTAGATCCATCCATTTGCCCACAAATTTCAAAGTGTCATTACTTTTTCTCCTGTGTAGTACTCCATTGTGTAAATATACCACAGTTTTTTTTTTTTTTTTTTTTTTTTTTTTTTTTTTTTTTTTTCGAGACAGGGTTTCTCTGTAGCTTTGGTGCCTGTCCCGGAACTAGCTCTTGAAGACCAGGATGGCCTCGAACTCCCAGAGATCCGCCTGCCTCTGCCTCCCGAGTACTGGGATTAAAGGCATGCGCCACCACTGCCTGGCATACCACAGTTTCTTTATCCATTCTTTGGTTGAGGGGCGTTTTGGTTGCTTACAGGTTCTAGCTATGAAAAACAATGCTATCAATGCACAATTTTTATTGATTGCAACAATGGAAATAATTTGTCATTCTTTTGATGTGATGGTTAGCTACATTAGCTGCAAGATTGCCATTTCTCCTAATCTAATACAAGGACTAATTCTAGATAGTGACTGTTTCTTTGAGACTGCATGTCTAATATATAATGAAATAGTAAATCCAGTCTTCTTTACCTCTAGATTGTCTTTCTCTTAGCTGCCTGCTTGAACAATGGGATTAAGAAAAAGACAATCTATCCCATTACATATTTTCTCATAAAATATACAAGAATAAAACTGGTAGCTACTTCTGATTCAGTTTTGTTCATTTAGCTTTCAGTGATTTGGTTCTTTCATGGATGAATATTCATGGCTTAGGAATTTATAGAATATTAGGCTTATTTTCAGTTTGATTCTAATGTGAAGTATAGAATCTCTTAAGGAAATGATTGAGGTTCTTTGATTCTGAAGACTAGTAATATTTCAGAGTGATTTTATATGATTGAAATTTTTTTTATTTTATTTTTCTCTCCAAATTCTGTCTTAACTTATTTATTTATAACCCTCTAGTGATTATATAAGTGTAATATATCCAGTTTAGATTAAAATCGCCCCAAATTATAGCTATATTACATATGAAAACTCTGAATTAAAATGCAGATTAAATTTTAATGAGACATTTAGTGTATTTTTTAATGAAAAAATGAAAGATTAATCTGTAGACATGGGCAAATATTTTTGCGAAAAAATACTGATGCTTTAAAAGAAAACTGCTTTTCTGGGGGGTAAATTTAACCATGTTTCACATTTAATTGCTTCATTTACTAATTGAAAAATACTGGGCAAATAATTTATTTTTTCTAAGCATCTATTGCATATTTATACTTTAGAGATCAAGATATCTAAGTGTCTGATTTCTTATTTGTAAAATGGAATTCAGTGATTGAACATGCAGCTTATAACAAGGATTGGAGAACATATATGTGGATATATAGTGTTCTTAGTATAAGTACTTTCCAAAAATGAATATATAATATTTTTAGTTACTGCTGAGGGCTAAATTCTAACATGAGTTCAGATTTATTAGGAGATGCCAGTATCTGTAATCACAATAAAAGCAATTTTTTTTTGTTCCTTGGTGGATCATCTGTGTAATGTGTGTCTATTGTAAAGGTCTAGTTATAAACTGTGTCTCTTACTCTCCTTAGGCATGTTCAAAACAGAATACCAGGGTCAGTTACCTATTGTGATTTCTCCAAGTAGTGGTACTGTGAAGGCTAAGTCATCAAAGGTCATCAAAGTGGATTTCTGTGCAGACAAGTCCCAGATTGTAAATGAAGTGGCAAGGTAAATATAGAGTATCTTTTTTGGACAAATGTTTATATAGAACTCAATTTTTTTCTTCTTTCAGATTGATTGCTTATTTGCCAACCCCCTTTCTTTCATTTGCTATTATGTAGCTATTCCTACATATCAGGACATGCAAGTGTAGGTAGTGCTCAGTAATGGAAAGCAAATGCAGAAGTGACATGTAGATACACAGAACAGCAGCTCCTAGTTTCAGTTTTATGAATCTGAGGAAATGGTCTGAGGATTCCACTAATAAACTGGTAGTTGAACCACACACTAATCATTAAATAGGATCTGGTTAGTGAATGGAAATGATATGATTGGTGTATGTGTGTGTGTGTGTGTGTGTCTGTGTGTGTACAGGAAAAATGAATGTTGATGATAGATTGGCTTATATGAGTTATTTCAGGCAGAGAAAGTGACAATTTGAAACTTTAGAGATAACTGTGTTTCCTATTAAAGAATCAGAGGCAATATAGAGTTGAAGAAGTAGAAGGGAGTGATGTGAGGTCAGACCAAAACAAAGGAATGGCACAAGATCCAGTAAAGGGTCTATGGGACAGCAATTTTTTCATGAGGTTTGCTTTAGTGCATTCATAGATGTGATGTGCATTTAATAATGTGTGTGAGCTACTAAATTACACCTGAAATGTATTTCTTATTGAAGGTTACTATTGTAGTGTTTGAGATACAGTTGTGAGCCTGAAAATTAATCTGAGGATCAGTTTGCAATTTAGAAAGTCACAGTAACAGCATTGAATTAAACAAATCAGACAGCACAAAAGAAATTTGACAATCTGACTTGATATTATAAAAGCAAAGCCAAAAAGACATAGGAAAAGGCAGAGCTAGGGCCTAAATTGGGAGAATTGAGAGACGTGCACAGATTTAAGGTATATTAATACAAGCCTGTTTAATTCATTTGATGAGTTAATGAACAAAAGAAAGTGGAAGAAAGTTCATATGTGGCATGGGAGGAGTGATTTCATTGTTAGAGTCATTGTGGAGTCTCTGGCTATGACTTACATGTTCTAAGTCCCAGAAAGCAGCTTTGTCTAGATTAGTTGGGTAAGGGTATTAGGAGTATATGTGGTATCTAAAACATAGGAATCCTGAGAATTTCACTGAAGAATGGAATATGGACTAATAAGAGAGAAGAAACAAATAATTTACAGAGGATCTGTGTCTTAGAATGAAAAGTTAGAGCATGCATGATTGAGTTAGAATGAAAACCGAGGGAAGTGTGCGATAGCCAGGAATCTAAGGAAGGACAGGTATGTTGAGATATGGTATAGATAAAACCTCACAATTATAGAAAAATATAAGTGTTTTGATGATAGCCAGTTATTTGTGGTATCTGTTGGGGTTAAGTTGAAAGGATTGTATTCATGCCAGAAAGAAAGAAACATGTGCCAGATGTGCTAAATAAGAACTGAAATTAGTTTGAAATTTTTTCTGAGGTATGTTTGATTTAGGGAACTGTGGTATTGGAATGTAGATGATAGCTTAGGCCTCGGTTCCAATTTATAGATGTAGGCACACAAAATGACATACTAATCTCTAATAGTAAATGAAAGGGACTAATCTTAATCTGCTAATTTAGTTATGATGTCATTTTAAAAAACTATTCAAATAATTAGAAGAAAATATATATGAATATATAATAAAAATACTTACACTTATTTTATTATGTTATAGAGTGAGTTTGCAAGGTCGTCCTGATACACTCTTGAACATCAAAGTTCATGTGGTTGAGCAGATAATCGAATTGCTTAGCATGAATTGTGACAGGAAATTGCAATGCATACAGTTTGGTTCTGTTTTCTTTGGAACATCAAAACTTGAGCATGCACTTCTGTTTAACAATAGCCCTGAAACTGTAAACTGGGTGGCAATAATGCAAGATGACTGTGTTGGAGAAGAACTGGTAAGTAAATTGAGCGAAAGTGGTGCATCATGTCTGAATTAAACCAGACGAATGCTTCCTGCAACTTAGTAACTTACTCTGAAGATTTCTGCTCTCCTCAAATTTTGAAATGTATCATGTCCTTTGTCAAGTTTAGGTATATGTTACTGTAGAAACAAATACTCTTCACTTTCTAGGTTCTAAAATTGCAATAATTATTTTAACTCTTTCAAATATGTTATTTCCTTTTTCCCTAATATGCTTTTATGTCTTATTTTATGTTACAGGGAGCAAATATTCATCTAAGGACAGATATTGCCTTAAATAATCTCCCCTACTTAAACAAAATAAAGAAAATAGATATGACTGATTTTATGACCTGTGTTCCCAATGAAGGGACTTTACTCCCCTATCAAAAGATTGTAATTACATTTTGCTTCAGCCCAAAGTAAGGAAAAGTGAATTTATTTGTAATGCCAATTATTAATGAAAATTAGTTACAATACACTAACCAGACTTATTTAATGTCATAGTAAAGCATGTGGGAAAGCAAAAATCGTATTTTTTCTTACATTTCTAAATATTTCTATTATGTTTAAGATTTCCAATATTCATAAATATGACATACAATATTTTTTTAATTAAAAAACGTCCTAGATCTATAGGAAATGGGTCATTGTGGAGGAGGTAAAATTTTTGGTTGTTTTGGATTCCATAAGTTGATTTGTGCAGTCCAGAACTTGCTGCAGGAATAGTGAGATGCCTGTAGTGTTTTATAGATGACACCAAATAGGAAGTAATGCTCTTACTTGAGCAGAATCTTTTTCTGACTGAATACTATCAATGTTAAAACAACATTATCTACTTCCGTTAACCCATAGAATTTAATGAAACACGTGCAGCGTATTTTCATAGCTCTTTGTACTGGCTTTTGTTATCTAGGCTGAAAATACTTTGAAAATGTTGAATATATGGTAAACAATTCAATATTATCTTAGTCTGTTTCTCAACTGTAAGAATTTACCTTTGTGAGATGGTCATGTTTAGTGTACTTCCATTACAGCATTGTCACTTGCTGATACACCATTTTTGTAGGCTGAGTGTTTTAAGAGGATATGGTGGTTAGTTTTAATTGTCAACTTGATAGAATGACCTGAGACTCTCAAGAAGTGATTGATGATCTGCATTAGGTTGGCCTATGGTCATGTACATAGGAGACTGCCTTAATTGATGAGGGAAGACCTGCTATTTTCTGTTTCGGGACTTTTTTTTTTTTTAAAGAGAATTTTTTTTTATTGAGAATAAGAAAAAAAAAGTTTCCGCCTCCTCCCAGCCCCCCCCTTCCCCCCCCCCCCCCCCCCGTTTCCGCCTCCTCCCAGCCCCCCATTTCCCTCCCCCTCCCCCACTCTTCTCCCCCTCCCCCTTCTCTTCTCCCCCTCCCCCCACTCCTCTCCCCCTCCCTCTCCTATCCAAAGAGCAGTCATGGTTCCCTGCCCTGTGGAAAGTCCAAGGTCCTCCCCCCTCCGTCCATGTCTAGGAAGGTGAACATCCAAACTGGCTAGGCTCCCACCAAGCCAGAACATGAAGTAGGATCAAAACCCCTTGCCATTGACCTTGGCTTCTCATCAGTCCTCATTGTTCGCCATGATCAGAGAGTCCGGTTTTATCCCATGCTGTTTCAGTCACAGTCCAGCTGGCTTTGGTGAGCTCCCAATAGATCAGCCCCACTGTCTCAGTGGGTGGGTGCACCCCCCGTGGTCCTGACATCCTTGCTCGTGTTCTCCCTCCATCTGCTTCTCATTGGGACCTTGGGAGCTCAGTCCAGTGCTCCAGTGTGGGTCTCTGTCTCTATCTCCATCCATCACCAGATGAAGGTTCTAGGGTGATATGAAAGATATTCGTCAGTAATGTTATAGGATAGGGTCAGTTCAGGTTCCCTATCCTCAGCTTCCCAAGGAACTAAATGGAGACATTGCCTTGGGCTCCTGGGAGCCACTCTAGGTTCAAGTCTCTTGCCAACCCTAAGGTGGCTCCCTTAACTAAGATTTGTGCTTCCCTGCTCCCCTATTCAACCTTCCTTTATCCCAATCTTCCTGTTTCCCCAAGTTACCCCATCCTCCCCTTCTCACTTTTCTCTCCCCATCTCCCCTTACCCCCATTCCACCCCACCCCCAAGATCCCAATTTTTTACCCGGCAATTTTGTCTACTTCCCATAGCCAGGAGGATAACTATATGTTTTTCTTTGGGTTCATCTTCTTATTTAGCTTCTTTAGGATCACCAATTATAGACTCCATGACCTTTATGGCTAGAAACCAATTATGAGTGAGTACATCCCATGTTTTCTTATGCTCTATAAAACTAAAAAAAAAAAAAAGCTTTGAGTACTAGACACACATTTATTTCTCTCTTCTCTGTATTGTGACTATGAGGTGACTACATTTACATTTTAAAATGCTTTACATTGTTGCCTTGATTTTCTTGCTATGATGGAATTTGACCTGAAATTGTGAACTAAATTAAACCTTTCTCTTCTTCATTGCTTCATCAAGTCAACAGAAATGAAACTACGGCATCAAAACTAATCGTTAATTGCCCCACACATATAATCAAGAATTATCTTAATGATACTTTTGTCTAAGAAGTGTCTTTGGAAAATCTATAAAATTATGTTCAACAATACAAGATTATGTTATTTTATGTGTCCCCATTGTATTTTATATGATTGTTTTGGTAGTTGTTGTGAGTCAACTGATGTGGGTGCTGGGAACCAAGCCTGGGTCCTCGTAACTCTAGCGCCATCTCTTCAGCCTCCTCCACCTCTACATGCTTTGAAAGAAATCCAAATATTGTTTTCTATGGCAGCATTTTAACGTTGGGAGTCTAGCATGGACATTTAGGTGTGAATATTTGAAGTCTTAGTTAAATTTGTTTTTTAACACACTATATGTGCTCCCATTTAATATTGCACACCTACTTTTTGTGTATTTGAGTATCTACTGGCAGAAGAGCTAATCTGTACGTAAGCTAGAAATATAGTCAGAGACCTGGCCTATGGTGTAACCTATCTATACCTTTGTTCCCATTTCTCCCTTTTGGTTCCATTCTTCCATTACATTTCTCTAAGAAGATCTGATTCATATCAAATTATGTTCTCTAATTACTTGTTCACTATGAGGAATTTGATTGGTAATAAATATGAATTTAGTTCATGAGAGTAAATAAATATGTAACAGAATTTGCTACTAAGGGAAATATGGGTTACTATAGAGACTGCTTAGAGAGATAGACAGTGAATTCTATCTGGCAGAAAAATACAGTATAAACACTGGCATGTCATGTAGGTTTTGGCATATTGGGACACTTAAGTTAGTCTTGTCTTAAAAATATAAGTATTAATTCAGTTACTTTTTTGAGCTTTATGCACTGAGGTCTTTGTTGTTAGTAAATTTGGAAAATAGGTAATAGATGTGTTTTTATTCCTTTTCATCTGCTTACATAGATTTAAGAATTAGGTTGATTATTTTTATTGACAAGTGACAAAAACATGTAACCTGTGCTTTAAAAACAACTAATTATGATATTTACAGGCTAGTAGTTGATATTAAAAAGGATGTTGGGCCTTCACATAGGCAAGACTATGCTCTCTTTGTGAGATTTGATTCTGTGGGAAGTAAAGATGGATTTTTAAGAGATGATAACTCTAACACCATGAAAAGTAAGTATGAAATGAATAAGACCATTAAATATGTAGTAGTTAAAATTCATTAAGAGAAAAAGTATCACATGTGAGGGAATAGGTGGGAGAAAATGGGAGGTAAATTTGATAAAAGCTCATTATATGCATGTGTGACATTTTCTAACAATAAAATAGAATAATGAGCATCAGTGCTACAGGAAAAATATAAAATGCTTATTTTTTACATTGAACAAAAATCTATACACTTTCATGGCTTTAATATATCATCTGTGGTGTGTGAAGACAACCATGGAACCGTTTACATGACTTTAGATAAACATTATGATCTCAGAATTTGAGAAATTAAAACCGAATATTTTTAATTTTTAGATGTGGCAAGGTTTATTCGTAGGATTTGACATAAAACAAATGGGCCATTTTGTTTTGATCAGACCTTTACTTCTAGAATGCTGCCTATAGTAACAGTTGAAGAACAGGATTGAGATCTACTAAGCAGGGTAATACTGTCTTTGGATACATACCATGAGTATGTGAAAGGCATGTGTTTTCTATGCCACATATTAAGAGGCATTAAATTTTTTTTACAATTTCAAGTAGTTTTGTGTTGATTGGAGCAAAGCAAAAATGTAATAGTACTTGAGTCACTTTTAATAAGCTAGATCAAAGATGAATGAATAGGGAGGTTGCAAATCAAATTCGGAAAAAATGAGCTGTGCCCAGGAGATGTAAATCCTTCCTGTTAACTTAGCAAAGCCAAGAGTTTGGAAGATTTGCAGGCCAGTATGAATATGTACTGTCACTATGTTCAATTAAGCTGTTAATCTTGCTCAGTTTGGCAGAAATGTCTTGCTGATATTACTGATGTCATGCCTTGTTATATTGAACTATATTTACCGATAAGAGAACACTTGCTTCAAGTTTTCTGGTTAATGCTGCTTTTTTTCTTATTTTACCCCATTTATTGAGCATAGATACTTTTTTTTCATAGTTTTTCTGAGTATAGTTTCTCATCCCCTTATATCTACCAGTTCCTCCTTAACCTCACTTTCCTCTGAATCCATTCCCTTTCTGTGTCTCATGTCAAAAGAACAGGCTTCTGGAAGATAACAACTAAACACAACAAAATAAAATATATTACGACGAAGCAAAAACTATCACATCAGAGTTAGACACAGCAACCCAAAAGGACAAAGAGAGTTCCAAAAACACACATAAGAGCCAGAGACTCATTAGTTCTCACACTGAGGAGTCCCATAAAAATATTAAGCTAATACCTATAATACTTATGTAATATATAATATATTTCACACACACACACACACACACACACACACACACACACACAGGAGCTGCTGTAGTCCTTTTAAAACCCTATGCTTTCTTTTTTAGAGTTTGTGATTTCATGTGCCCCTTGCTTAGTTGTTTCTTTTATTCTTCTATACCCATTATTCTTATTTTTGTTTTTTTTTCAGTGTCCCAGATTTCTTGGATATTTTGTGTTAGGAATTTTTTAGATTAAGGTTTTATTTAATTGGTGTGTCCATTTTGTTTCTATTATATTTTAAATGTCTGAGATGCTCTCTTCCATCTCTAGTATTCTGTTGGTGAAGCTTGCCTCTGTAGTTCCTGTTCAAATTCCTAAATTTTTCATTTCCAGAATTCCTTCATTGGGCTTTCTTTATTGCTTCTCTTCATTTTCAGCTCTTCCACAGTTTAGCTGATTGGCCAAACTTGGTTGGGGGACATCTTGGACTCATGCCTAGGTCATTCTTTATAATGGGGGATTGTTCCATGTCTAAAGTAGAGACACATTTCGGCCCCTTCATAACTGAAGTGAGTTGGAAGAAGAAATGTTGGAAGAGAGAATCTTTGTGATTCCTTGGTGATGATGTCAGTTAAGAAAGGGAGACCACAGTGTATTTCCTGCTAAGAAGTTAGGGATGAGCCGTGGGTAGGGGTTGGGAGGGAGAAATTGGATCTCAGGAGCAGTTGAGACATGTGGGTCTGCATTAAGCTTATGTGTTGCTCTGTGAGGAGCAGCCTTTGGCTTAGCAGGGGATAGGTATCTGCTCTGGTTGTGGTCTAGGACAAAACAACAAGTGGATAGGACGGTTACACGGGAACATCTATGGGAGCCACAGGAGATGTGGGCAGGGGAAAGGCTGCCATGGGGTTTTCTGCTGCAGAACGTGGCATGAGACTAAGGGATTGAATCAGGGAGAACAGGAAAAGAAGAGAAGGTCTGTGTACATCCTACCTGGTTTTCTGGCATACCCTGTTGGTTAGCAGGGGATGTCTGCTGGAGTTGGCTGGGAAAAAGCTACAGGTCGGGGTGGGGGGGCAATGGAGGGACAGGCTGGAAGGAGATCTGTGGAATTCACAGGAGGTGGGAGCAGAGGGGCAGGGGAGGTTGCAAAAGGTGTTCTGCTGCAGAGACTGGGGGATTGGATCGGGGGAACAGAGAACAATAAAGCTTCTAATAGCTAGAGATGGATATTCTACATTCATCTTACAGCTTATTTATAGGCTACAATTGATCAATGAGAACTCTAGTAAGAAAAACATAACTCTATTCTATGGTTCTAGTTACAGTTCTCTTCATAAAACTATTCTATTGTTCAAGTAGAGAGTAAGTCTGTTGTGGATCAAAGACCCCAAGGACTACTATAGAAAACCAAAGTCCAAATTGGGAGTCTTTATTAAACTAACTGGAGATTATCTGGAGAGCAACAGTGCTCACACAGTAGCCCTGCCTGTTTTAAGGGCAAAAACTACATCCTGGTTAGCAGTTGCAGGGGGAAGGAAAGCAAGCAAGCTGTTTATAAGATACAAAAGTTGTCAGTTAGCTGGGGCATCTTGACCTCAAGTCCCTGGGACATGGTTAGGTAATTTTCTAAGAGACATTCCCTGAGGAGGGGCTGTAAGCAGGGAATATTCTTTGAGTCAGACCTTAGATGACTACAGAAGAGACAACAACTCTGTCACGCAATCCATAGTTCTGTCTAATACCTAATATCCCAAACCCTAAATTATATATACTTTCCCAGTCTGTATTATTCCATCATGTATGATTTAATAATCATTCATTTTCGTGTATATATAACCTTTGACCTATTTCCCATAATGATTGAAGAGAAAAAACTGATCTCTTTAACTTTCATATTACTCACCCTAGTTGATTATGATGTTTTGGTATTTGCTAAATTCTGTAATTCATTCTAAAAATCTCCATGCTAAACACATTTGATTCAAGTCTCCTTTCTTTCCTCTTTCCTTTTTACATAAAGGATTTAAACACATTGAATGATCTACTAGATATGTCCACTAGATTATACACTAGACACAGGCTCATGCTAAAGTTTCTTATTCTGCCCAGAACCATTGCCTAGAGATGATGCTGCCTACAGTGAACTGGATCATTCTGCATCAAGAAATCATGAAGAGAAAACCCACGTAAATGCCCATATGCCAATCTAATCTAGACAGTTCTTTGGATGATCCTAGGCTGTTCCAAGTTGACAGTTAGAGCTAACTAGAAATATTTCAAAAGAATTAATAATTTTTTATAAGTAGCTTTATGCTTCAGTCTTTATTAATCTCCAGAAATGGCAAGTTTATCCTTTCAGTTGCTCACACACGCACTAAAGTATATATGAACAAACAAATAAAACATAGGAAAAAAGCCCTTAAGTGTCATAATTTAGCATCTGTTGATTTTCCTGTCCTCTATCCAGTAAATGGGCAAAGATTATTTACTCTGCACTCAAGAATATATCTATAACCTTGACTGTTTCTGACCATCCTTTTACAGTTCTCCTAAAACAACCATATGTGTTTCCTTATGGCTTTTTGAATGTGAGAAGCAAGTTCCTACTTTAGAGTGCTTGAATTTGCTCTTTCTACTTGGAATACACTTTTTATGGATGTTTCATTTCCTCGAAATGTTTGCCCAAATGTTGCAGTATAAATTAAAATGGCTTATTTGAATATCTCTACCTAAAACAGTCTCCCCAAGTCTCACTCTTTGTCTTTACATATAGCTTCTACCCTTTGTAAGTGTTACAAATGTAGTGACTGTCAGCCTTATATTTCCAGAATGTAAATCCATCAGAGCAGCTTTTTCTTTATTCATAGCTGTGTCCTCAAGACTCAAAATTATGTGTAGCATAAAGAAGGCAGGCAATGGTTTTGCAGAAGATCGAATGAGCTCCTTATTTCCCATCATATTTTTTTAAGTGTTGCTATGTGAAGTAAGCTAATATATTTTTGGTTCTCCAAACACTCCTCACTTTGTTCAGTAGGTTTTATTGCTTTTTCAGGTAATCGACTTCAAAAAGTAGAGTTAGCTTTGACAGGCTCTGGACTTCCTGTCATCTTACAGTTTGATCCAGGAAAATCACTTACTTTTGCACCTTGTTTCATGGGTGAGCATTCGGATATTCTATGCATTGTAAAAAATCAATCCATATCACTTCCTGTGATGTACCATTTTCAAAAAACTGCACACTTTAAAATGGATCCTGAAAGGGGCAAAATTGATGAAGGATGTATTCAGGTAAGTTAGCTTTTTCTTTGCCTTCCTTCCATAGCACTTCGGCTATTTTTTTTTTTCCAGAGTAATTTACAGAGGAGAAAGGACCACATTTGATCTACTAGTGTTTATGAAGTATATCTCTTATGTGACCTAGAATTAGTTATACATCCAGTCATATAGAATCCGTAATTCTTTGTTAAGGGTTTGCATTGTTCCAGTGAAAGCATGTAATGTTCAGGTGCACTATGAAATGCAGCTGTTGCTTCTAAAACAGTTTTATTAAGGAATTTTAAGACACATACAGAAACAGGTATGACTTAAGATTGTAGAGTGTTAAACAGGATCTGTAATGTAGTGCCATCCAAACTCAAAGAACATGTGTTTTATTTTTATTCGGGAAGATTTTTCTGGAGAATCACATGAGCAGATTTAGTTAAAGTTTGAAATTTCAAACAGGGAATAGTTGGCTAGTTTGCAGTTTCTTATGTTGGGGGAAAACAAACAAAAAACAAATACTAAGACAGTCTTGTTGGAACCAGCCCCCCCCCCCCCCGTTTCAGGAGCTATTTTAATTATGGCTGGCCACTCTTGCCAACTCTTTTGTAGGCACTCTAAAACAGAACTTCTTAAGCATTCTTTACTAACTTTTTTTTCCCTGAGCTGATTAAAGTATGTATACAAATTTAATATTTTTATGCTGAAAATGATGGCAGAAGAATATTGAAAGTGTTCAGTGTCCATAATCAACATAGAACAATTTGTGGGTACAGTAAAAAAAAGTGCATCTGAAAATATACAATGGTTTCAAATCTGAGCCCATGTGTTTTGGGCACTATCCATTGTTGTTATGTTATATGATGCACACACAATGCAGTGTGAATTTTGTACATTCAGAAGCATGACTGTGGTGACCATTTGTGCTGCAACAGACTTGTGTTGCAAGTAAAACCTCAGCTCAATTACACATTTAACTTTCACTTAATTTTTACTCATTGCATATTCAAAAGCTTTTTTATTGTTGGCAAATTTTTGTGTCCCACACCACATTTCATTTTAGGACCCCCATATATGCTTGTGACTTAAGTCAGCTCTTGGAAATCTATGGTCTGTTGGACAGTTCTGTTTTGACTCCTGATTCTTCCCTGTTTGAGCAATTTTACTGATGTTATAAACATTTCTGGGTGATTTTATATGGATATATACTTAAGACTCAAAATATATCATATAGAGGAATTGTTAAATATTGAAAATGCTGTGTTTAACGTTTGGACCTGTTCCCAGTAGTGTAATGTAGTGATATTTTGCTTGTGTTTTTTTTTTTTTTTTTAAACAAAGATTGCTTGAAGATCAGAGTGTAGAGTTAAGCCACTAGATACCAGGGAGTGGTGGCTCACACTTTTTATCCCAAGGCTTGGGAGACAGAGGCAGAGGGATTTTCGTTATTTCAAAGCCACCCTGGGCTACCTGAGATTGAATCTGTCTAAAAGAGAACCAGAACTCACAGAAAGGTGATCCCAGCACTTGGGATCCTATGCCTTTAATCTCAGCACTAGGGAGGTGAAGACAGGAGTGATATGGCTGGGCAGAGAGAGCAATATAAGGCGGGAGGAGACAGGAGCTCAGTGTAGTCTGAGGTTTGGGTGGAGGCAGATGCAATCTGGACAGGATCACCCCTTTGGTCTGAGCATTGGTAGAGGTAAGAGAACTTTCTTCTAGTGGCTGGCCGCTCTGCTTTTCTGATATACAACATTAACCTTGTATCTGATTCTGGGTTTTTATTATTAAGGCCAACTAAAATTCATGCTACAGTGTTTGTCAAAGTGATTGCATAAGTTTGTATTTCTTCCAGCAGTGACTTAACAGTCCAATTCCTTTATGCCCCTTCCCACACTTGACAATATCCTTTTTTTCATTACAATTATCTTATTGGGTGCAAAATGGTGTGCCAGTATGGTTTTAGTTCTCCTCTTCCCAATAACTGATGATGATAGCTATATTCACCTATTTTCTTTAGGGGAATAATTGCTTAAATCGACAGCAAGGTGAATGGTGCCTTATTAGAAATGTCTCTATTTGAATCTCTCAAATTTGTGTTATGATATTCTATGAAAAGGAGAATTAATGTGTCAGTTACAGTTAAGATTGAAAACCTGCTTGTTGACTGAGTGTTCCCAATAGATCACAGGAATCCTTAGAAGGATAAAAAGAAACACCAGTGTTAAAGTGATGTGAAAAGATAAAGAAGCCAGTGTTGTTTGATGGCTTCAGAAATGGAAATGGTGGGGATGTAAGTCCACTGAGATGGTTTCTATCACCTGGAAGCGAAAAAAGAATAAAATAAAACCCATACTCTGCAGTAGATCTTTCAGTATATAAGCACAGATCAAATGACTCAGATTTCAGTTCATTAAAACTGTGGAAGACTCACAAGTATAAAATAAGAAATTCGAGGTGAACCCTTGATTTTTTTAAAATTATTTTTCATAGCTAAAAGGATATTATTATATTACCCTTTGACATTTTTATTTTATTTAGCCCATGTAATTTTCTGATTTTTAAACTTTTATTTTTTATAAAGTTCATAAGTGTATAAAATGCATCTTGATTATTTTCTACCTCTTTCTTCCTCCATCCAACATTCTCTGCCTTCCCCGTTTGTAGAGTCAAATCCTCACACCTGTCTGTCTGTCTTTCTCATCTGTGGATGAACACTCACAATATGTTATTCTCGGCACCTTGAACACCTCATCTCTGCATTAACTGCTGTATACTATAATGAGAAGCTTCTCTGACCAAGCATGAGAGCAGCACAAACATGTGAATATAAGCATACATATTCAAAATACAGTTTACACGTGACCACTTAGCAGAACATTAAAAGTTTTTCCTTTACTTTTATTGATATGGTTTTACCCATATGTATAGTACTAGACATGAGTTCTTGAATACTTATCTTTGTTGTTGAAATGCAAGTTCTTCATATGTTCTGGTACAAGGCTCAATCAGATAAATAAATTACAAATATCTTTTCCATTTTGTGGGTGTTTTATTTTTATGACGATAATTTCCTTTGCAATGAAACATTTTAGTAGTCATATTCACCCAAGGCCTTCAAATTTATTAAAGAGTATTTTTGACATATTTGGAATCTTGAAAATAGATATGATTCTAAAATTACCTTGTCCGTTTCTACCAAAAAAAAATAGCAGCTGTTATTTTGATAGCATCTGTGTTGGTGTTCTAAATCTTTTTGGGTAGTATTGCCATTCCACAATATTAGTTTTTCAGTTGATGGAGGACAGATACTTATTCATGTGTGTTTTAATTTCTTTCAGTGGTGTTTAGAGTATCCAGGGTCCAGGGGTAGGTTGATCCCAAATTTCCTGAGAAACCGTCACACTGCTTTCCAAAGTGGTTGCACAAGATTGCATTCCCACCAGCAATGGATGAGGGTACCCCTTCCTCCACAGCCTCTCCAGCAAAGGCTATCATCAGTGTTTTTGATTTTAGCCATTCTGACAGGTGTAAGATGGTATCTCAAAGTTGTTTTAATTTGCATTTCCCTGATCGCCAAGGAGGTTGAGCATGACTTTAAGTGTCTTTTGGCTCATCCTGGCATCTTGATGTGTATGTATGTGTGCTAATAATTTGTTCTAATTCAGTACTCTTCGTCACTGCCATCCCTCTGTTCCCTCTGAATGGCTTCTTTCCTTTTTCCCAATTTTATAAACTAAATACATAAAAAAACACTGCATATAAAATACAGTTCATATATGTACACACATATGTGTTTTTGTGTATATATATGTTTGTTTATGTATATATAGTTTCCCTTAAACTACTTGTATAACTATCCATTTTTTTTTCTGTTTCAATGGAAGGATTCCCTTTAATACTTTCCTA